CGTCTGGATCCACGTTCACTGTTTACACTCCCTCAATACGGGCAGAGTGGTGACAGCTCGAGCGTTTTTCGTCCGGATTCGGGCAAAGCAGCGTGCAAGAGGTGGACGTCAGATGGCTCTCGCAGGCGGAGCGCAAGTACCGCTGGAAATTGGTTGGGTGGTCTCCTTTCTCTGGAGGACTAAAAGTCATCTTACTTGTCGGAAATTGTGCAGGTTACGCGGCCCTACCGGCGCCTACTTGCGTCAACACGGGTGGCATGCTTGACATTTTCCGCCGAGTGTTGCGGCCGCCAGATTACAGAGTGCCACTCACGCTCGGGCTGCCGTGGGCCATGTCGCGCTGGATGCCTCCAGGCACGTGCGATGATCTTTTTTGCCAGAGTCAGTAGTTTGTGAATCGTTTCAAGCGGCAAGCATGCCCGAAAGCTGAGCAGTCCGAGTACGGGATCAAGTGGGAAGCTCCGAGATGCCATGATCATCGATGAGCTTGTTCTGCCGTTGCAGCGCATTTGATGTCTTCGAAGTAGATCAAACCATTTGCTTTCGTGAAAGCGGCCACTTTCAAGGCCTGCTCTTCTGCACGCTCGCTGCGCGCTTGTATTTGTAGTCAGCAGTGTCACTAGTGCATAGCATGGCTCTGCATCGCAACACGTGGTCCAAGCCAAAGAAACACACATGTTGATGTAGGTTGAACAGCTATTGAGAAGAGACCTTGACAGAGCATGTCGAAAAGCTTGATACCCGCGCTATTCGAGCAGCATCAGAAGAAGATGGACAGATGATCCATCCCTTTATTCAGCAGATGCCGGATTCCATGCAATGAACGATTTTGGTCGACGTGCCTTTCACCATCAGTATGAGACGGCATTCAGTGATGAAAACAAATCATGGTTCCGCTTCTAGTTCAGGTTTGCAGGTGTGGCGTCCCGAGTGTTCGTGGACATTATTTTTTTCTGGAATCGCCTCAGGGCAGCTCCAACAAAAATGACACATCTGATGGTTGTTGGTACATCACTGCTCACTCATTGACTCCACTTGGGTCTGGTTTGCTCCAGTTCTTGAGGATGCTGTCTCGTTGCATGCACTTGACTTGAGTGGTTTCCATGCAGTTTTTGCACGCTCGAATCGCAGCTTGATCAGAGCTGTGCATGCAGAACGTGGACGGGCTGTCGAACCAAGTACTGCACCAAAATGGATTTTTGAGTCCTGCGCAGCAGAGCATTTGAATGACCAAGATTTCCTTGTGTTCGGGTTGATTCTTTCTTTGAGAGACTTTTGTGCCTGCAGACTTTTCTTTCTTTGAGAAGTTGCGACAGGCTGCTAGCCGTGCCTGACAAAATATTTGTTGTGGTAAATTTCACGCCTTTGTCGAAGGAGGGCATTTTGTGGATTGTATGATTGTTTGACTGATTAAGCCTTATTCATGCAGACCTGGTGTTCCATATCGAAACATCTGACATGGCTGTATGCGCACCGAGGCAACAGCTCAAACCTGAGCATCTGATCCCCGCCCGCTCGACCCTGACATCTGTGGTGGGTGATGTGTTCGAGACAAATTTAAGAGCGGCTCCAAAAGCCCGGCTCGTGTGTGATCGCTGACGACCAAAATGAGGGAAGTGCGCGCATCATTCAGTCATGTATTGAATGCCACCTATCGATACAAATTGGTTCAAGCAGTTGCGGAAGGTCACCAGGTACAGTACGTGTCGGATCAAGTTTTTGAGGTTTGCATTATGCACCGGATCAAGTCGTTGAGATTTCGCTTATGATACACTCATACGGATACATTACCAGGAAGAGCATATTTACGCTAGAAACTATTTTGGATTGGATTCGACGACCAGACGAGTTTGCAAGTTTGCAAGCATCGCGGATTTTACAAGAACAAGCTCCGCTTGCCTTCCGAGGGGAGTATAGAGAGTTTGGGCAAAGTTGAGGGCAACCAAGTGACGTCTTCGCCGTGGCCGCAGAATATACTGCGACGTAGCAGAGTTTTGTTGAAGACTTTAGGAGAGAAGAGACATCTACAACGGTTTAAGGTTGTGGGGATCAGGGGCAACAATGACAAACCAAAGAAAGGAAAGCAACCCACCAGAACAAAAAAGACGGATGAGTTCTACCATGCTTCGCCACATGTTGTGGGCCGGTTCAAACTCCTGTGTTAATGATTCTGCTTTGGTAGGCCTGTGGGGCCATTGTCGTAGGGCGAGGCTCAAGCCAGGATCACCCTGCCACCAGCAGGGCCTTGGCCTGGATCGAGATGTGGGCCTGTCACGCTTTGTCACGCTTGCCGCTTGCTTCCGCTCCCACTCATTTTCGTGCCGACGTCCAACGCGGAAGGCTTCGCCTGTTGTCGATGATGTTGGTGGTCGGCGGCAGCCTCAATGCCTTTAGCCAGCACATGATGTGCGGTGTTGTTGTGTAAGCTCCGGGTTGCAGGTGCGACCGCTTTTTCCGGAGCCTTCGTTCCATCGACAGGCAGATGACCACACAGCTCGTGACTTGAGGGTGCTTTAAGCTTGAAGCCTCAGGAACGCCGCGAGCAGCCACAACTGCTCAAAGAGCAGTGAGCTCCATCGAAGGCGTGACCAAAGGCCGACTTCGAGGGTTCTCTTCCAAGCTTGTTGCATGTGCAGATGTTTTCAGGCCAGTCCACTATTCCAACGCTCACTGGTGCGGCTGCTACCCTGGCTCTAGTGGCCGCCCTCCGAGCGCAGAAAAGGCTTCCTCGCAAGGCGTCTGCTTCGATGGATCTCAATGCCGAGTTGGGACTTCTTCTGTTTGGTTTGGGCCTGGGCCAGGTGCTGACACAGCGAAAGGCCGAAATTGAGATTGGCACCGCGCACAGTGTTTTGGCTTGGCCTGAGCGGCCTAAGCCGGAGTGTCAACATCCTCGCTGTTTCTCGCACGCACTGGCCCAGCCCAACAGGTAAAGTGGAGGCTAGCGGAAAGAAAAACTACGTAAATCCGTGGGAAGAGCGCCGACGTCTTGGCATCTGCGTGCTGTGTGCCAGCTTCGGCTGCAGATATCCCATGGCAATCTGGATTAAGGGATCGACATCGAAAAGGACTTGCCTCCCGATGTTCGCAGAAAACCAAGCGGAAGGAAGCCCGATGCTGAGAGTGGAACACGTGATGTGATGCCGTAGTGTGTGTGGCCTGTGCTTTCGGTTTCAGACGGTTGCGGCAGTTCTCTACAGGAGGAGGTCTGATCTCGGAAACGTGTCTCTGTTGAGTGTAGCCAGCAGGTGGAAGCACAGTCGGTGTCGCATGTAGGGTATAAAGATTCCGTGCCCGAGGTTCCGGCCATACACGGGCCCGGTGTACAAGCAGGTTCCCGTCGTCGAAGGCCGGAAGCAGTGAGGACAAAGCAAGCGGCATCCGCGTTTCGCCGAGGATTGGAGTTTCCGTTGGACCCAAATCTGTACTACCCACCACTGGAGCCGCCACCTCCGGGGGCCAAGTGGGGACCTGCCCTTAAATTTCATGACCGCTTGCGACAGCCATCTTCCTGCCCGATTGTTTCCTGTGTTCAGGTGATGGACGCTCCCCGGATGGAAACTGGTACATGGATGTTCAGGACGAGAAAGTTCAGCCACAGCCTCAACAGCAACAAGCTGGTGTTGAACGCTGATGCCCTGGCGGCCAGCCGTGTCTGCGGAAAGGTACTGGCAGGGCGTGGGCAAGAGAAAGACGGCGTGTGGCGGGCCTGGAAATCGGACTAGGGAATTTCTTCGGCGGCTTGCACTTGGTTCTGCAGTTCTGCAACTCATCCAAGGCGCCATCGTGCGAATCGTTAAGGGCAACGGACAGTTCATTGTCAATGGCAAAGACGTGCGCCTGACCTCCCTGTCCCAGCGACTCAGTCGCCAAGTGGACCCTTCTGTGGCGAGCAGGCCATTACGTACTTCAACCACTACCCGTACTGGTGGCTGAAGGCCGTCTAGTGCTCCAGCTTGCAAAAGGCTCATCAACAAGTGGTGTTCAAAGCCTCAGGCTTGCGAGCCCTTGGCTGCACTGTCCCAGAAAAACAAGCCAATGCACTCAGTTGCAAGGACAAGTGAGTTTTGAGTTTGAGCCTGGCTGCCCTATTGAGGTTTGACATCATTGCCAAAAGCTTCGGGGGAGGTGTCAGTGGGCAAGCTGGTCTGCATCTCAACTTCTCGTCTCAGAGCCTGAGGGCCTGAGGGCCTGGCCGCGTGAAGACCAAACAGCTGAGGTGCAATCCGCTTGGCTCTTGCACGCGCCATGCAGGACTACAACTTCAATTGGAGGCAAGTCGCGCCATGCTGCGGAAGCGAGTTTGCTGTGCAACTTTGTCTGGTCGGCAGGCCACTGATGAAGAAGGCAAAGTACCTCACGCGCGATTACCGTATGGTCGAGCCCAAGAAGCCGGGCCAACCAAAGGCCTGCGCGGACACGAACTTGCCATTGCTCTGCGAAGTGATTGCTGCAAGAAGTGCGAACATCATGGCAACAATGCCAGGCCCGCAGGAAGACGCCTTTCCACAAGCGCTGATTTTGGCAGGCATGTTCATGGTTGCTGGAACTTCGCCAAGTGTTTGCACCTGTCCTGGTGTATCAGCAATGCAAAACTGTGTTATACGTCGACAGACTGTCAGTGATTGTTGACTCTGGAACAAAAGTAGTGACGTAGTGCGTGTTGATGATTCTGCTATTCTCCGGAGCACCACGAAGTGACAGTTTGAAAAGAGAGATCGGTGCCTCTTGGAAGTCTTGCGAATCAAGGCATTTTCAGTGCCAGCCCACGCTGCATGTGCCTCTCAACCATGACGTGTCTACACCGAAATGTTGATGCTGTCGAGTCTGTCGCATGCTGCCGTTCCAGGTCGAACCACTTTAGCCCTAACATGCCCCAGAAAGGAACTTGCCCAGACAGCGCGCAGCCGACCTCAAAGCAACTTCTTCCCACAGAGCAAGGGACACGAAGAGCCTTCACTTCTTAGTCTTAGTGTGTCTCCCCCACGAAACCGAGCGTCATGCGGGAGCTGTCGATGAGTCCAGGCCGGGCTTGGGGAGTTGGGGCAGCGACAGCACGTGGCTTTTTGTGGCTGTGACAGGTCGAAAGGATGAAGGTTTCTGGGAGCTCTGGCAGCTACCTGCAGCCAAGAGCTCAAGACGGCACTTTCTCGCAGCCTTCCTGGTTTGGCCTGTGTCCTGAAAGGCTGGGACCTAAGCTCCCACCCACTGCCCTGGGAAAAGGCCGGCCGGGAGATTAAAGCGGGGAAAGCAGGATGGGACATTTTTTCGGTCATTCTGTGTCGCTCCGGCAAGGCCGCCTCGGCCTTCTTCCGCAGTCATGCTGGTTTGGAGGCGTCCGTAATGACCTGCATCTGCGTGCCCCCCCCAGCGTCCAACACAGGCACAGCGTCGCCGACCCACCTGGGCTCGCTGGTCTGGATCTCAGTTTCTTGGGGTTCCCGGCAGGATGTCTCATATTAAGTATGAAGAGCAGGGGGGACGCCTGCGCTCCAGCCTTGTCGTGGATACCTCAGAGTCAGGTTAGTTCTGGAAGCCGAAGCTTACCTGGTCGTTTCCTGGGCAGGCCGTGCTCGGAGCTCCCTTCCAGGTATTGGACGTCGCTTTGGCAGCGCTTTGCTGTTGAGCGACCACTCCGTATACGCTCTCGCGGTTTCCCTGTCCTTCCTCATCAGTGCGAAGGCAGTCTTGACTCTCTCGGCTGTGCTGACCGCTGCAAGTCTCTCAGACCGGTCAAGGCTCAAGGCCAAGGCACGGTGCGGGCACCAACATCGCTGACACCAGGTGGCCGCCGTGTGTGCCTTCCCAGCGCTGACGAGGATGGGCTGGTTGGACCACGAGGCTCTCAAAAAGCCTCGGAAGTTGTCCCTGTCCTTGCCGAAGTCAAGCGTGCACCATCCCTGAATCTGTGCGGACGTTGGCTCAAAAGAGATGGCCTCTCTTTACCTAAGCCGTTGAGCCATGATCCAATGGCCTCCTGATACTTAGCTGGCGAGTGCTGGCGAGCGGAGCCTACTATGGAAGGCCAACCACAAGCAGAAGCGACAGAGCAGGCACAGGCGCTGCAGGCAGTGCCAGCACAGCCTGAGGGCCAGCCGGTCCAGTATGCCATACCGGCTGGATACCAGGCGGTGGCTGTGCCGGCCATGGACCCTGCACAGTACACCGCATGGCTTCAAGCACTGCAAGCGCAGCAGGTCGTGGCCCAGCAGATGTTCGCACAGCAACTTGCAGGCGTGGCAGGTGGTGCGGCAGGTGTTGCAGGTGCCGCTGGCTTGCTCCTTGTCTCCTAGTGTAGGCATGCCATGCCCTTGCTTGAGACCAAAATCCGTGGGAGCGAGGGATGCGTGAATGGGTTGCAAGGTGATGTCTGTAATTCAGGTATGCGGCTGTGCCGACGGTGCCCGGTGTGGCCCTTCCAACAGCCGTCGCTGCACCAGCGTCCGAAGACAGTCCGGCCTACAGTGGGCAGATTGTGGACTACAATGAAGACAAAGGTTTCGGCTTCATAGAGTGCAAAGACACCCAGCAAATCTATGGATCCTCGGCTGCTTGCAGATCGGGGAAGGGACGGGTTCTTTCATCCTCCGCTTGCTTGTTTGCTTTATCCAGGAAAAGACATCTTTCTTCTGCGAAGCTCCTTGAACGGTTTGATTGTCAGTACCGGAGACAGAGCGGCCTGGCTGTTTGAGATTGACTCTGAGTTGCTGGACCTGTGATGTCTGATCTCCGTGCAAGGTAAGCTTCAAGGTGGAAACAGGCATCAAAGGCCCGAAGGCCGTTGAAGTGGAGATCATAGACGCTTAGCGCTCGAATTGGATTGGCTTAAAACTTCCTGCAGATTTGTACACGTTTCCTTTCCTCCTGCTTGCATTCCCCGAGGAAAGGATAGCCGACATGGCCGAGCGCTTGCCCACATACTGGGGCAGAGTGAAGAACTTTGATGCTGCCAGAGGTCTTGGCTTCATCGACTGTGAAGAGACCAAGGAGGTCTACGAAAAGGACATTTTGGTCTTGCGGAGTCAGCTAGGTGATCACTCCAACGACACGATCGTGTCCTTCAACATCGTAGAAGATGCCCGAGGTGTCAAGGCAGCCAACGTGAAGATCCACCCCGATGGCTACCCACCCGGGAAAGAGCCCAAAAAGAAAGGCAAGGGCAAGGGCATGAAGGGCTTCGAAATGGGCTTCGGCGATGGGAAAGGCTGGGGCAAGGGCAAAGGTATCGACGTGGGCCAGCTGTGGCAGGCCATGGAGATGCTTGGTGAGATATGGAACGGGGGTGGGGGTTGGGGAGGCGGAGGTGGCGGGGGAGGTTGGGACGACGGCTGGTGGGGCCCGTCCAAATCCAAGGGCAAGGGTAGCAAGTCTCACCCCTACTAGGTAGTCGTTCCGTTATGTTGCACGCGACTCTTGCAACACCCAGAAAAGAACAACTTGTTCTGTGAGCTTCTCTTGCGGCATGTCTCAGCCTTTGCAAACTCCTTGTTTTGCCGGTTGCCTGAAAGACTGCAGACTCCAACATGTTGGAGGTGTTGACCTTGAGCTTGTCGTTGGCATGCCCACTGATCACTATCACGTCCTATGCCAGGGCCCTCCTCTGTTCCCTGATCACCTGAGAAGTTGCGAAGCTACCAAGGTCGCACCGACTGGAATGGTCCTGGAAGCAGTGCGGCGGATGAAGGCCAGCAGCATGCTGCCGGCTCGTGAGGCAGTTGACATATTGAGAGGCCAGCCACCTGCCGATGGTTGTCTTCAAGGCGCAGGTGCTTTGCGCGCGTGATGAAGATAAGACTAGCAACTGCGGGGGACTTGGACCGCAAGGCGGCTTGCAACATCCTGAGCATTGGCTACGGCTTGCAGATTTCCAATGCAGCTGTTCTCATGACCAACTTATTCGGCACTCGCCTGAGCTCCGAGCCCACAAGCCCCAAACGCTTTCGAGTGCTTCCTGCGGAGATGCGAAGCAGAGGTCTGGCCTGCCAGATTTTATTCTTCGCAGGAGAGCACTACATCAGGCCAGGAGGCTTTGGGTGCTTGCCGGCCGACAAGCTTTCGCCTGCAGGGCCGCCGACGCTCAATGGCTTCCGTTTGCTGTTAAGACGTCGGTGATCCTGAATGGTGGGATAGTCATTGCAAGAAGTGCCGTTTGCCTCAGTTCTGCGTCCCAGAGACTGCTCTGCTTCTTGCGACTCGCGCTGTGCAGCTGAGGCTCCCATGAATCTTCTGGGGCAGTTCATTACAGCCTTTTGGCGATTAGCGTGGAGTGCCTGACGTACCGAACTTGTCCACATCTCCAACCGTGCAAGGTATTTAATATCTTCCTCTATTCGTGCTCAGCTCAGATGTTTCTCCTTGTGGCTGCCTTTTCCGGCCCCATGTCTCTGTTCACAGGTGTCCGTTGATGAACCTTGGTGCGGTCTTACGCACAAGAAACAGCAGCCCGTTTCCATCCTTCATGCGATGCTGGCTTGTGCTGGTGGTTTCTCAGTGCAGGTATGCAGCACGGAATCGCCTGTCTGCTACTGGTGCATGTGTGGGTGTGTGTGCGTGCACATGACAGGGTGGGCATCAATGTCGTGAACAATGCACCGCTGCTGCACTACTGAAATGGTTAAGTGGGCTACTCAAGATGAAAGGAGGTCCCCGATTCTCGCTCTGTCGTTAAGGCGCTGTGGAGCATTTATGCTTTGCTGATCGAGGAACACATGCCTGGGCTGTTGTTCATGAACCTGTGACAGATGTTGCGCATGGGGAGGATGTTGTGGTCCTGATGCCAAGCATCTTGGGCTATGCTTGCTCCTTTTTCCAGGCTAGGCATCGCCTAGTTCAGTCTCGGCTTCGTGTGAAGCTCGGCAGTACTGGCAACCACGAGCCTGAAATTGCAGGTGTTACTTATTCTGTGGCCATGGCCTCAAACAAGAAAAGCTTTGACCGGGACTGCGGTGGGATTCAAGAATTTCTGGAGGTGTCGCAACCGTCTACCGTCGCGGCCTTTCACGAAGATGTCCACTACGTGCCTGGGATCGCTTTGGTTTAGGTTCGACCTGAGCTTCCTGCTCGCGATCATTCAAAAAACCAAGCCGCGGCCCTGCGCTCAAACCGCTCCTGTGCCGCTCCGCTCGGCTCTCCGCTCGGCTCTCCGCTCTGAGCTCTCCGCAGGGCTTCGGAAGTGGAGCCGAGCACTCCCGAGAGCGACCATCTGGCCGAAGCTTCCGAAGAGCAGGCGCCCGCCCCCCCGTGGTGCCGCCGTGCTTTGCTCTCGTTCTTTGAATCGCTTTGCTTCTTTTGGAAGGATGGAAATGAAGACTGGCTATGATGTCTTCAGTCTCTCCCAGATGCAACGTACAGCCATTGCTCAGAATGGGAGCAACCTACAGCTTTGAACCATGCAGCATCTGAGCTTCTCATGTTGCAGCTTCAGAGGGGCATCTGCCACGAGCGGTCGCCGGCAGGAAAATGGCTTTTGCGTTCTGTTCCGTTTCCCCTCTCCGCCATTCTCTCCCCGCATCCTCCTTGCGCTTCTCGCCAAACACAAGTTGATAGCAGACACGGGCATACAGCAGAAGAGTCGCAGGAGTTCCGGCATGTGTTAGTCCGAAGAAAGGAAAGATCCTTGGGCTTGCCAAGGTTCTTGCCTTCGAAGTGGTCGTCTTGTCCATGACTGAAGCGTTGCATACAGGAGTGCAGATGCTTCCTGAGGCTTGGCTCGAACATCGGAAACGCATCTAAGAAGCAACCACAAAGCATTACTTGTGTTCCTTCCTCAACCTCTCGTGCGCGTGTGCTGATTTCCGTCTGCGCTTTTTCTGAAGCACTCGGGGCTTTCTGTGTGGACTGCATGTTTCGTAGGAGTCAAACGTGTCGGGAGCGCTGCGTAGCTCTTGATATGTTTTGAATTTGTCTCTGTCAGGAGTTAGGTCTTTCCTGTTCATCTTCGTTCTGCGCTTCGGACTGCAGCACCTGAGTCTACACAGCTTGACAATGCGCACTCCTTCTGCCCGTAGAGGCCAGCAGTCTCTTGTAGTTTTAAAAGCAACGCCCAGTATATTCATTCTAGCAGATCAATGGCTCATTTATGGCTGTTCGATCATGGACGCTTTGAAACGACAGATTGGGTCAGATGCTTAGACTTCTGCAGTGCGCGGATGCTTTCAGATGTTCTGGCTATCCATGTTTATGTTTGCCAACTCTGCCCAGGCCCTTTGACTTCCACTTCGACCTCCTCCATCCCGGAAACTCCAGTCTGAGGCTGGTGCGAGTTAAGGGGGATCATTGTAGGCAGGAAGACGAAGGATGTGCTTTCGTCAGGTTTCCTTGGGAAGCTTCGTACGAAGGGCAAGACGTGAAGTGCTCCATCGAGGTCTGCACCACACTGCAGACAGTCTTGATGCTTGTATAACGGAGCACCACGCAGGCCCCGCAGGAAGAGCCACGCAAAGCGCCCCAAAAAGCAGGCACAGCTGCTGCAGGACAGGTTAAACAGAGTTGGCCTCTTGGGAGTAGTCAGCTCTGGACGAAAGAGGTCACCATCTCTGCAGAGAACCGTCATGCATCCATCCCGTCCAGGTTATCCAGGGCTCGAGCGAGGATTCTTGTGCAAGCCAGGCAAGAAAGGCCGGCTTGAATCGTACCACGGAGACGGAGAAGTAAGCAGAGGGAGCTGTATACTGACCTGCCCGAGAGCGCAACTCCAAACCTGCAGCAAGCAAGTGCAAGGACTACACAAAGCAGTGCAACACAGTACAGCACATCACAGGACGTGACAGTACAGTACAGTACAGAACAGGACAATACAGTACAGTGCAGTATAATGGACCACATCCATGCGTGCACAAGAATCTGAGTCGCTACTGGCATGCATACATTCACGCTTGTGCATTGTACCTCCTGAAGAACAGTTTTGCACTAATGCCTGGAGCTCGAGAGTTCTCTGAGAGTAGATGCCATGTTTATCAAAGCCGTTGCATGCGGACATCGTGGTACAATGAGAGTGCAAGGTGGTCATGTGTGTGCTTTGCAGATTCTTGCAGGCGAGAGCCCAGCTGCTCAGGCACACTGCATGGTTGATTGTTGCTTCCTGGGATTGTCAGAGTTTCTTCATGCTTCCGAGGGTTCATAGTGACCGTGGGTGCCGTGAACCGAACTGAAGAGGCACTAGGTCTCCTTTCTCCGCTTTAGCTTTTGGGCAGGCGCAGGGCCAACATGCCCAGCCTGCGGTGCAAGGCCCCCAGGCTTTCGACCACAAAGAGGGAAGTGCATTGGACAGTGGTCTGTCTCAAGCTGAGGCTGGGAGCGGGAGCACGACCGGGACCGAAGAAGAAGAAGGCGAACTCGGGAACCGAATGCATTCCGAGGCCCGGAGCACAAGCCTCAACCCACGGGTAGGCACCAGGCTACTTCTGGTCAACCCCCCCGTCCTGGCCTCAATAGGTTTGTGTCTTGCCCGGCATCCTATCCTGTCGCTGCAGACTGCAGTGACGGCAGACTTGCGGACACGTATCGTCTCAAGGCTGAGATATGAGTTCAAGGAGCAGAAGAATGTTCAGGCAGGAACCGTGCTACAGCTTTCATTGTTTTGTGCACATCATCGGCATGGGGTGAAGCTAAGGTGGGAGACTGGGCCGGGACCGAGCAATCCGGGCACCTGCACAAAGCCTTCCATCCTGCGCAAGTTCGGGACTCACCGGGTCCCTGTTTGCGCTTGCCGAATGCAGAGACTTGTGTTGGCACTTCTCAGGCTTGTTGTTTCTACCGACTTCCTGGTATGGTTCGTGGGGAGATCGCAGAGGCAATCCTCGAGCCGAGACCCTCAGCCTCGCTGCTCTCGTTTCACTGTCCTGGGACCATTGTGAGCTTCTTTCGTGCGCTTGTGGCTAGGTTCACTGTTTGGGACCACAACTTCGTATCGTCTGTCGTCTGTCAACCGCCGGCTCAGGCACTGCAAGAAGCAGACGTCCTGCTTTTCTGTTGCAGCCGATTCCGTGGACAAGACTCCAAGCTTCGAGTACTACCCGCCTTGTACTCAGCTTGATGTACTCCGAAGCTGAAAGCGAGACAGATATCGGAAACGCTTCTTCAGCGAGACTGCCTGCAACGTATGGTTGCCCGGCAGTTGCAGACAAGGTTCCGAGACGGAGCTTGGGCGGATGATGGCATGAGGACATTTCCGGTAACGTTGCCGTCGAGCTTCAAGATATGAACGGCGCTTGATGAGAGGATCAGAATTTCTGCAGAGAAGCCTGCTGAGGGAGGGTGTGCGAGGGCCAGGGTTCTGGTCTTCCAGGAGGCTGCTCGAAGAAACCATCGAGTTGCAGATCCTTCCCTACGTTCGGCAGCGTGCCCCCTTGCCAACATCGGCTTTCAGGAGTCTGACAGTTGCAAAGCGATCGAGGCTATGGTTGTCGGTTCTGTGCGGTCTCTGACATCCTGGTTAGCCGTGCCCCGAGCAAAGAGTCAGACTCAGACCACATTAGAGCAAGGTGCCAAGTGTCGTGTCGACTTTGAGGACGCTACCTGCCAGGGGAGCGCCGCACACATGCCGTCCACTTTGACGGCCATGCCTTTGTGACAGCGGTGCTGGGCCTCTCGAGCCCGGATAGCTATCAGGCGCGACTGCAGTGGCGGTCAGGGAGAAGCTGGTTCTGCATGCTGTTTGGATCGTATCAGGGCGGCCTCTACATACAGCCAGATGCCGATGTGGCTTCCCGCATGTATTTTCGCTTGGAAACTGGAGACTTGCTGGTGCTTTCCCCAGGCGTAGGAAAGGCTCGCAAGCGTCTTAATCGTCGTAAGAGCTCAGGTACACTCCTTCGACTTACAGCATGGTGTCGAGCTCCTGGCTTCCAGAGTCTCCGCTGTGGGAAAGTCGAGCATCCATCAGGTTCATGTTTGGAAGGGTTCACGCTACAGCCTCGTCTTCTGGATCAAGGATTCTCTGCAGGTAGGGGATGCTCCTATCCAAATCGTCGAAAGGTTTTTCGCCGGTTGCGTGCAACTTGGCAGGCCGTTTGGGACCGGACGACTCCATGGTACGACCCGCTTGCCGAGGGGAACTGAGAGAAGCTGGGGTTTGTCGGAATCTGGTAGCTTGTGACTGCCAGTCCGTGAGAATTTGAAGTTGATCTTTGAGGCTGAAGGCGACCCGGATGCTTTGTACAACCTGGCTCAGAACTTTGAGCCTAGGTCTTAGCATGAGCTTTTGCATGGCATGTTTTCGACTGAAGCGGTTTGCCGATCCCCACGGATCTCGGCGCTTCAGGCATGGCCTCTTCAGTCGCAAGCTTGATGTCAACAAGGCTGTGGGATTGACGTCACATGCAGCATCATCCCGCGCCAAGCGGCTCTTTTCACAAGAAGCCAAGCCGGTTGTCAAAGTTAGACAAGTTGCTGTTGAAAACTTGTTCAGGCCAGGGAGCTGTACGAGCGTAGTGCAGCAGCCGGGCATCATTTTGCGCAGAACAATCTCGGGTTGCCCGGCATGCGATTGATGATCGGGACAAAACCGCAGAGCTTACATCTGTGATGGATGACCAAGCTGACGTACCGCGAGGCTTTTGTATCGACGCCTCCACGAAGGTGGTGCCGGGACCGACGCCTTGCAGAGGCGGAGTGTAACCGATGCTTTGGAAGAGCCCGAGGGCTTTGGGCTTTGTACCTAGGTCCGTCCACTGGCTCAAAGCAGCCTCGGAAGCGGGCTTTGCAATGGCCCAGAAGAACCTTGCTTTGGCAGAGGGCCTCAGGCTGCAGGAAGATGCAATGCGATTCCTTGGAAACCAGTTCCGGCTGCCATCTTGGCTCTAGCTCTAGACTCTAGCAGATCGGGCTTTATTTCGTGAAGTAATTACCAAGTCGATGAGTGCATCTAGAGAGCATCCTCCAGTCACTAGTCAAGCCTGCAGAGTCCGAGTGATGAAGCAGAGACATGACATGCGGCGTCTGCGCCGACGACTTCTGCTGTCGTTGAGCCTTGGCTTTGGGTCCCTGGCGGTCGGCTTCCTGCATCGGCCGCCGGCCCTGAGTCCGGCTGCCGCCCGGCCTGTGACCGCCGGGCCCCCTCGCCGACAGATAGCTGCCGCGCTCTCTCTTGCAAGTTTCACTTTGCCTTCGAAGGCCCCGGAGAAGGGCCCTTGAACGCATCCGCCTCTGCGCGGTCCGCTCTGCCATGCTGCTATGCTGTGCACTTGGAGGCTCATGGCGAGGCTGGGCCTTCTGCTGAAGACGCGGCCTTGCTGGGTGGTGCTTTTGCAGCGATGGCTGCGGACCCGCGGAGGCGGGCAAGACTTCCAGGTGAGAGGACGGTTGAAGTCGGGTGCCGCC